TCTATTAAACAAATCAAGAACCCCTCAGCTGAAGCTGTTTGGGGAATAATTAGAACAGGGTTTGGGGGCCCATTATACTGTAATTATAATAAGGAATTCCCAAAATAGTGTAGGTAATTATTTATGCAATGTCAGACTCGGAGATGGCTGCGTGTGCAGCACCCATGGAGGACTTCGATCGTCAGACATGCAAATCCCGCTTCACCATTTAGGGTTTAGGGTTTAGCGTTTAGGGTTTAGGGATGTACACTCTACTTAGAGGTTCATGGGACTTAGTAACTAGGGCTACAAATAAGGTATATAATAACTAGACTCATAATTACTTGTAACTCCGATTAGGGTACTTATAACCTTGCTTACTAAGTCCCATGATCCTCCAAGTAGTACTACAAGCCTAGTACAGCAATACCGAATATCGCGAGATCTGCTTGTTCAATCGGTTCTGCCCTTTGTAGCTTTCCATGCCCTTGCCCTTCAGTCGGTGATTCCTTGCCATGCTTGGAGGATGTAGATACTTGTGTTGTAGCCTGTATTGTTTAGAGTTTAGGGATGTTAAACGGTAACCCTGCAATTAAGTATCACCCCAGTACAGCCTAGGCGATTACAGTGGACGCACGAAGTTCCTGGCTTCAACTGGGCTACCCAATTTCCAAGTGGGGCCTACACCCAACCCTAAACCCTAAGCCCTAAACCCTAAACCCATCAGCTGTCCCCGCCATGCTCCGTGTGTGGAGACCTTCTGGGGAAGAGCTGGTCGTCATGAGCGAAAAGGAGTTGAAGGATGTAGCGGCGTTGAAGCAACATCTTTGCGTGTTTTACGGTTTTCCGGTGTACCTACAGCAACTCGTACATGACAGCAGTGTTTTGGCTGATGAAATCAAGATTGATTCCCGTATGGACCTGCAATTGGTCTTGCTGCGAGTTTCCGATCAAACTCGAGACCGTGCTGCGCAGGATTTGATGTCTGCTGCCCGACAGAATCACATTAAGATGGCTCGCTGCTTGCTGGAATTCGGCGCTGTCAAAGACTGTCAGGTCTTCCTGGAAAAGTACCGCATGACACCCCTTCTTATCGCAGCAGCTGCGTTCTTGTTAAGGAGTTGAGTTTACTTTAAGTTACCATGATAGGTATATATACTCGTAGTAAATATTATGGTTTCCTAGTCACGTAACTTAAACTAAATTCGCAACTTGAATGAAAGCCCGCCATATGAGCCCAGGCAGAGACTGGACACCTCGAGATGGCCCGCTTCCTTTTGGAAGCTGGCATGGGTAAAGATGCAAAAGGGCGCAAGGGTTTGACAGCCCTAATGTTTGCTTCGGGAAATGATCACCTGGAGGTCGTACGATCGCTGCTGGAAGCTGGCGCTGATAAAGATTTGAGTTGCAAGAACGGCCGTACAGCCTTAATGATCGCATCAGAAGTTGGGAACTTGGAAGTTGCCCGTTTGCTTTTGGAAAGTGGTGCCGATATACATCACCCGGACGACGAGGGTAAGACGGCCCTAATGCTCGCAGCAGAGAATGGCCACTTGGAGGTTGCACGCTTGCTGCTAGAAGCGGGTGCTAACAAAAATGACAGTGGCGGGGATGGCATGACAGCTTTAATGCTCGCATCAGACAGTGGGTACCTGGAGATTGTACGCTTGCTACTGGAAGCTGGTGTTGATAGAGATGCAAAAGAGAAGAGGTACGGTATGACAGCCCTCATGCTCGCTTCGGGATGCGGTCACTTGGAGGTTGTACGTCTGCTGTTGGAAGCTGGTGCTGCCAAAGATGAAACAGGCAAGAATGGCATGACAGCCTTACTGATCACAGCCAAGCTTGGGCAGTTGGAGGTCGCACGTTTGCTATTGGAAGTTGGTGCCGACAAACTTCACTTGGACCATAAAGGGAAGACCGCACTACTGCTCGCATCGAAGCATGGCCACTTGGAGCTTGCACGCTTACTGCTGGAAGCTGCTGCGCGCATAGATGACACTGCCAGGACCGGCATGACAGCCTTGCTGCTGGCATCACAGAGGGGACGCTTGGAGGTTTCGCGATTGTTGCTGGAAGCTGGTGCTGACAAAGATCATAAGAACTGCAGCTCAATGACCGCCCTAATGCTCGCATCGGAGAGTGGCCACATGCAGGTCTCACGCTTGCTGCTGGAAGCTGGTGCGAACAAAGAAGCAACAGCGAAGAATGGCATGACTCCCCTGATGTTTGCATCGGGGAATGGCCACTTTGACATTGCAGGTTTGCTGCTGGAGGCCGGTGCTGACACAAGTTATTTAGACGGTGATAGTGCGACAGCCCTGTTCCGGACACTAGCAGCTGCTGACAACAAACAAGGCCCACGTACATCTGCCCTGAACCCTGAACCCACAACCCCACAACCTTCAACTGCGTAGTTGTTGAGGAGCTTAACTTCATAATTGCGCGTATGTCATTATCCTGGTGTCGTAGAATAGCCTTAGCTCCCTATCAGCCCTATCAAGAGCCACAGAACACCCTCAAACCACTACAAAGCCTTAGTGTAACAGACCCGTCAACAACCTATCGTAGAACCCTCATCGAAACATTAAACATGGTAACTGCGTATATATATATATATATACACACACATATCTATATAACAATTACCTCTAACCCCAGTTCAGGAACTTACAACCCCAGTTATGGTACTTATGGCATACTAGGTCCCATGCTCCTGCAAGTGCGGCCTCCTTTAAAGGTTTCTGTAAGGACCCTGCAGGGGTTTGGGGTACAGAGGGCCTTAAAGAATAGTGTGGTTGACATATAGCAGGAAAAAAAGTAGTATAGGGGCCTGATTAATTACCAATACTATTTGGCGGGGTTCCTTGTTACAGGTATAGTATAAAGTACCCCCAAGCCCTATGCCAATTATTAAGGCCCTTGCAATAGTAGCCAAGGCAGCGCTAAACGCCCCTGGTTGAGGACCACAGCTTCAATTGTTTTTGGAACCTCAACAACCCTTCTCCATGAACCCTTAAAGCCTAAAGCTGTAACCCTGGAGACCACCTTAAATGACAAACCCTGAAGCCCCAAACCTACACCCTGAAACCCTCAAGCTTTAAACTCTTATACTCCAAAACCCGAAATCCTAAAACCCTAAAGCCCTAAACCCCTAACCCTCAACCCTAAAGCCCTGTATAAACTTTGAACCGTAAACCCTAAACCCTAAACAGCCCTGTACGGACCCTGTGGCAGGTCTTCCACGTGACGAGCCCCGAAGATTTGGCATCGGCCCAGAGCTCAGAAACTAGTTCTTCAAGTTATTAAGCATCAGGCTTTAGGGTGTATATTTCGTATGTCTGTTCGTGATATTTATTGAGTTGTTTTTTTGCTGTGTTTCTCGTAAAGGGTCTGGAACAGCTCTTAGTGTTCCTTCTGTAGGGTTTCAGAGGGCACCTGCCTTTGATTTGGAGCTTCAAGTAACAGCGGCTGAAGGACAGAAATGAAGCCAAGACATACTACCAGCGCTAGTCTCTGTACTAGCACTTGTACTGGTAGTAGCCGCAGTAGGAGTAGTCGTCGTCGTGGTGGTGGTGGTGCAACAATCCGTCGTAGTAGTAGTAGTAGTAGTAGTAGTACCTGGCAGGATTAGTAATCGTAGTAGCAGCAGTAGCAGTAGCAGAGGCAGTCGCAGTAGTAGCATCACTTTGTAGTAAGTAGCAGTAAGTAGTAGCAGCAGAAGCATCATCAGCAGCAGCAGTGCTTTTTGGTTTTGCGTGGTTTGTTAGGGTTGGTATGGTGGTTTTCTAACCCTAAACCCTAAACCCTAAACCATCTTCATAGGTTGTTATAGGGCCTTATAGGGTCGTACGGGGCTTTACAGGGTCGTACGGGGCTGTGGATAGAGCTCAGGGAGCCAAATATATAGCCTACAGAAATAAAGGAAGCTACCTCAAAGGTTTAGGGTTTAGGGTTCAGGGTTTAGGGTTCAGGGTTTAGGGTTTAGGGTTTAGGGTTTAGGGTTTTCAAAGCAGAATCCTAAGCCCCTTATGACGTATTCAATCTTTAGGGGCCCCTGTCATGGCTCTCTAGGAAGCTGCACCCTAATCCCGAAGTCCTAATCCCTAAGCCCCAAACCGTAAAGAACCCCTCATCTTAAATCCCTAAACCCTAAGCCCCTAACTCCTAAAACCCTAAACCCTAAACCCAAACCCCTAAACCCTAGACCCCTTCTCTCCTAAATCTCAAACTCCTAAACCCTGAGGCAAAGTTTGAGCCGACCTGCGTGATCTGCATTGCGGAGTTCGAGCCAGGGGCTAACGGGTTTCAGGGCTTTAGGGCTCTGGGTTTCAGGGCTTTAGGGCTCTAGGGTTTGGGGGTTTCGGGAATTTGACGCCTGCATACCTCGTAATACTGTTTCCACGGTTCTCTATCTTATTATGACGATAGTGACTTTGGTTCAAATGGAAGTTTCCGAAAATATGGGGTACCGTATTTTGGGGCCCTTATAACTATAACAAGGATCCTACTATTAAGGGTCCTATATTGGGGTCCCCTATCTTCGGAAACTCCCATATGTGCTCAAGAATGTCCAATGTTGCCCCCTAGGGCTCCTGACTGTCGATCTGCTTAAAACGGTTTAGGGTTTAGGGTTTAGGGTTTAGGGTTTAGGGTTTAGGGTTTAGGGAAAACCCTGGTAAGGGGCAAAGGTTCGGAGGCAGGGGGGGTCCGTTGTCACAGGGTTCAGGGGTTTTAGGGGTCAGGCTTTATGGCTAGGCCCTAAACCCCCAAACCCCCAAAACCCAAAACCCTAAAACCCTAAACCCCCAAAACCCAAAACCCTAAAACCCTAAAGCCCCAAAACCCAAAGCCCTAAAACCCTAAAGCCCTAAAACCCTGAAGTCCTAGAGTTATGGCTGAGGCAACTTGAGATCTTAGAGTTGTCATGAGGTCTCGGGTCTCGGGGGTTGGGTTTTTAGGAGTGAAGCTTCCCAGACCTCCGGGGTTGAGGGATTACCCAAGGGGCCTTAATGATGAGGGTTTAGGCTAAATAGGGTTTAGGGTCTAGGATAATTAGGTATATTACACTATAACCATAGTAAGGAACCACAAAATCCTGTTCGAATTATTGAGGCCCCTACATTAGAGCTTGGGGCTTGGGGTATTGTTTAAGCTTTTGGCCTTGGGGGTTGGGACACGGCTCGTTTTGGAAGTTGCAACGATAAAGATCCTATTCAGCAAAGCATTTATGAGGGTTGCAGAGAAGGCAAGCCTCCAACTAGAGGTCAAGAAAAAGCAAAACCCGGAGTAGCAACGCCTTGCCTCTGCTTACCAAAGAAGCGTTTCCTTGATTTTTTAACAAACATTGAACAACGTAAAGAAGTTAGGAGGGTACCCTTGTTGTTACAAAGCAGATGTTGATGGGGAAAGCAGCAGCGCAGTAAGCCTTAAACTTTGCCAACGTACTATCCGCAAGATCTAAGCCCCAAACCACAAGCCGTGATTTCGAATCTTTGGACGAAGCTCTAAGCTCTAAGCTTTAGACGAAGCTCTCAACTCTACAGTTGTGGACGCAACTTTACTTTCTGAACTTAGGCCCCAAACCCCAAACCCCAAACCCCAAACCCTAAACCCTAAACCCTAAACCCTAACAGGTAAATCTTGAATCCAGGCCCGGCGAGACTCTGTCGCGGCTTCCTTGCGGCCATGCCTTCCACCGTGAGCCTTTCGCCCTTGTAAATGTACGGGTTTAGTGGTTTAGGGTTTTTGTAAGGGCTTTAAGTATTGGATTTTGAAAGCGGTTTATGAGCCTTTACGGTTGTTAGGTTCCCTCTTTGTTTTGGGGTTCCCTTGCAAGATTGCATAACTGGCAAGGGCTAGGGAACTGGGTTTTACATGCAAACTTACAGCTCTATGCAGTAACCCAAAACCTGCTTTGCAGACCCGTTTGGGCTTTTGTTTGGTGCTGCGCTCTCTCATCGGTTAGGTGTTTCGTGGTGCCGTACAAAGTCATGACTTTGTTTGTCAGGCGTCTTCAAGGTTCCGGTGTTGACGAAACATGTTCAGCATGGAAACGGCCGATCCTATAGTGTCACAGTGACCAGGGTAAGTCATGGTTATCGTAGCAGTGACGTACGATGTTACAAGGGGGACGCCATGCGGAGGTATAGTAGAACCGGCAGCACCAGAGCGCCAGCAGCAGCAGCAGCAGCAGCAGCAGCAGCAGCAGCACAAGTAGAATAACTTTGTCCGAGCAGCAACAACGAGGACGAGGACGAGTAATAAACGCGTCGAGCCCGAACCCAACCAGCAACACTTCCAAGATGACACCAGCACTTTAGTCTCTTTAGTTTCGGCCTGAGAGCATAGAGGCCTATCGTCGTGAATGCTGCAATCTTCGGGTGACCCACAGGCGCTGAACACCAAAATCATAAACCCCTAAACCCAAAGTCCGAACTCCTAAGTCCTGCGGCCACTATTGTAGGGGCCTTAATAGTCAGAGTGGGGTTTTGGGAGCTCCTAATTGTTATCATGGTATAATATACCCTCAAACCCTATTCTGATTATTAAAGCCCCTATATTATAGCGTAGAGCCCCGTCCAAGGTGTGTCGGTGAATGGTTGCATCAGCCCGCAGCCGAGCGGTCTAGCTCATGCTCTGCTGGTGGCGGTGCTAGTGGTGGTGGTCCTCTTCGTCGTCGTCGTCGGCGTCGTGGAAATAGTGGTAGCAGTAGTAGTAGCAGTAGTAGTAGTAGTAGTAGTAGCAGCAGCAGCAGCAGTAGTAGTAGTAGCAGTAGCAGTAGCGGGAGGAGGTTTGCTCAAGAGTTACATCTTCAACATCCTGCAAAACCCATGTTCAGCATCCCTGTGTAGCTTAAGATGGAGTCCTGAATGCAGGTGTTTGGTTTTCGAGTCTCTGGGAAGTCCCATAAATCCCATAGTTTAGGGTCGTTAAGGCAACGCAAGATTTATATCATCAACAGTAGTGAGCTGTGGGGTTTCGGGGCTTAGTAACTAGGGTTGTAAGTAAGGTAACTAGACTTATAATTACTTCTAACCCCAATTAGGGTACTTGTAACCTTACTTACTAAGTCCCATGATCCTCCAAGCAGTGAGCTGTGGGGTTTCGGGGCTGTGCATCTCTGGGGGCTGCGGGCTCTTCAGTCCGGTCCCGCGAGTTTAGCTGGGTTCTTGTTAAGGAGCTTAATTTAAGTTACCATAACAGGGGTCCATAGTAAATCATAGGGTTTCCTTATTGTGGTAACTTAAATTAAATCCCTTAACAAGAACCCAGTTAGGGCCCTGGGTTTCTCAGAGCAGGCCCAACAGCTCGAAGACCTTAGGTTCTTCGGGTTTAGGGTTTAAGATCTTCGGGTTTAGGGTTTAGGGT